GTATATAAATGTTTTTATTTTGATTTTTTTCGTAAATTTTGGACACTCGCGTCTGCTGCTTCTGCTTCTTGTTTGTTTGTTTGTTTCTTTGTTGTTGTTGTTGTTGTAGTTGTTGCTGTTGTCTCTCTCGGTTATCACAAATTGTTGTTAATAAAATGTTTTTGCTTTTTAGCTGACTTGTTTGATTGTGGCTGTGCAAATATGGTTGTTGCTGTTGTTGTTGTAGTTGTTGTCGCTGCCGCTGCTGCCGTTGCCGCTGCGTCGCGACGCGGTTCCATCGGCGCTTCCAGCGTGTGTTGCTCACAGCGTTGTATTCAACTGAATGTTTTGGCCACCGGCAAAAGTCGACTTCCACATCCACATCCACAATATCAGCGACATCCGAGACGGCAACCGACGGCCAACACGAATCGCGCACGCTCGCTCTACACAGTCCGAGAGAGAGAGAGAGCAAGAGAGAGAGAGAGCAAGAACGTGAGCGAGTGAGCGGGCGGCGCAGCAGTCGAGAAAGAGAAAAACAGAGGGAGAGAGAGAATATTAGTGAGTGAGTGATAGGGCCAGAGCAGCGTGTGAGAATTCAAATATCATAAAAAACAAGTCACAAAGCGCGCTCGTCAAGAAACAAGTGTGCTCTAGACTCTAGAATGGAACGACTTGAACATACCCTGCAATCAATTTAAATTTACTCTAAACATGATAATTTATATGGTTTACAAAGCAAATATTATTAAATCTCTTTCAAATGGTTCAGCAAGACACAAATGAACGACCTTAAGATACCCTAGCTTCAGTTTAACTGAGCCCCAACTACGCTAATTGCTTAAAATCAATTAAATCACAAAAATAATATAACTTGACTTATTTATACCCTAGAATCACAATCTCTGTTTAAGCAGCAATAAGAAGTGACTTAGAGATACCCTACAATAAGTTTAAAGGCAGTCCCAAGCATTTATTTTATATTATTAAATCATCATTAAGCAGCGAAAAGAAAATTAACTCAAGCCTGCTCGACTGTTGATACCCTACAAACTGTGCCCAAACGGAATTATAAAGTTCTCACAAAGCAGCTAAAACTAGTCTAAGCTATGATTCATCAACATCTCAGCATACCCCATCGATGCGCTTTACAGGGTATACAAAAACAATTAAATTATAAAATAAGCGTAAGTTAATTGATTTATGTAAGCGTCGAGCAGCTGACAGCGAACAGAACCGACTGACCGACTGACCGATTGATTGACTGACTGACCGACTGATCGACTGATCGACTCGACTGTTTGATTGAACAGCTCAATGCTATGCACATTGGCGATTCGCTGTGCGCAGCTTTGTTAGCCATGTTAATGTCTCAATTAAGCGCCTTAATCGTTTAATTGAGTGCAGAATGCAGTTGCCTGATAGCCAAAGGCCGAGGATCTCCAATTGATCGGTCAATCAAAGTTGAAGGTGGAATGCAAACAAACGAACAAACAACAACAACAACAAGAGAAACTACAGAAAATATTGCAAATATTTCAGTTATACAATAGGTCAATTGAGACTGAGCTGAATCAGATTCTGGAATGCAGAGCCCAAAATCGTTTCTGATAAATCATCTTCAGTTTTGTATTGAGGCACAGCGTTGCCACCTGGCATATAAATTACCTAAACAACTATGAAGCTTATCCTTAAGGAAGCTTGTAGAATAGTTTTAAGAGTCAGTTTTTCCTAAAGCTCGAAGGCAATTCGAATGCAGATCTCAATGCGCAGCGTTGCCACTTGGCAAAAGAAAAAATTTGTTTTCAAATCAAACTAGCTTGCACTTATAAATATCTTCATATGCTTACTAATTTATATATTTCTAGAATATATATTCTTACTAGCGCGGTGTTGCCACCTCTTATGAATATTCTTCAGCAAGTTTTTTATGCGCAAATTTCAATCACAAATTGAATTAGATGCGAGCGCAGCCAACTTAACGAGACACTTAACGACTTTGCCTTTATGGCTGACAGCGTTGCCACCTGGGCGAGCAAACGCTGCAGCGTTTTACTACTTAATTTTCAGTTCACTCAGCGCGCAGTGAGTGAGGTTTTTTTTCCTCGTTTTATTTCATAAAGTTTTTATTTTTTATGGCAATTTGTTGCCCTTTTTCGTTGTGTGCGTGTAAGTGTGTGTGTACGTCTGTGTGTGTGTATGTGTGTGCTTTGTTTTAATGGTCCGCGCGCTTTGAGGTTTTTCAAGGAATTGAGTTATGTGCTCGAAATTGTGTGGAATGCCCCCAGCCGGAGATTAGGTTAAGCAGCAAAACTGGACTAATGATGCTTTTTTTTCTATATGCGAGTGGCCTCTCTCTGTTTGTGTGTGTGTGTGTGTGTGTGTGTGTGTGTGTGTGTGTGTGTGTGTGTGTGCCTCCCCCTTAATTTCAAACGAAATGCAAATTGCGGCGCGCTGTCAATCTTAAAAGCGAACCACCCCCCAGCTGCCAACAACGAGAGAGCACACACCCCTTCCCCACTCTCGCCAGAGCCCCCTTAGCCGTGGCCTGTTATGGCTTTTGCCATTTCTATTATTGCCTTTTGGGCCATTTATCATGTTGGCAAGAATGTTTGCTGCTGCGGATGCCCCGGCAAAGCACCCCGACCCCGACCCGAGCTCGCCCGGCATCCCCCCTTCCATGCAACAACTTTTAGTGCCACTTTTATGTGCCTCTCACACACGCGTACACACACACACACACACACACACACGCACACTTGTGTAAATTGAAAGTCAGTCAAAAATAAAAATTTTCAAAACAAAAATAA